ATTCTCAAGTCCGGACAGAACGCCGAAGCAAGCGATTCTCGCGTTCCTTCAAAGCTCGCAACGAGAAAACAAAAGCATTGGGAACTGTGGTTAAAACACTTAAGAAGATTCATAAGAATGGAGAGCTGAACGAGCACATTCTACAGTACCGAGCTCTGTGTGCAGGTGGCCGCATCATCGACACAACGCCGGTGTCCACTGTTCACATTCTGCAACTGCAGCATGCGCAAAATTCGCAATAAACAGTATTAGCCCACCAACACGTCGTCATCTAACGCAATCAATAGAAAATGTTCATCTTCACGCCGCCACCCTTCACGTCGCCGCCCTCCCCGCGGAGGCAGCCCTGCACTTCGCCATCCTTCATGCCGAGCCGCCCTCCACGCCCTTCACGCCGCCGTCCTTCACGACGAGGTAGCCCTGCACGTAGAGGCCGCCTTTCACACCGCTGCCTTTCACGACGAGGCCGATCTTCATGCCGTGGTCGCGCTTCACGCCGCCGCCCTTCCCGCCGAGGCAGCCCTGCACGACGCCACCCTTCATGTCGAGGCCACCCTTCACGCCACAGCAGCCCTCCACGCCCTCCACGTCGCCACCCTTCACGACTCCAACCTTCATGCCAAGTCAGCATTCCATATCACCACGCCGCCGCCCTTCCAGCCCTCCACGTCGCCACGCCTCCGTACTCCACGCGCCTTTCACATTGCCGAGATCTCTTTCCCCTCTGATTGTAACTGGGGACCAAAAGTTATTGACGAGCACAGCATATGATTTAATAGAGGTTTGTCCGATTTGTCCGAGGTCTGAACCTGCACGGTATGGTTTACAGTAAGGAAATTTTCGGACAAAGTCCATTCGCAATCAAACTAATTGCGAATATTTATTTTTACAAATCTTCACATATCTACTTCAATACTCCGTTCAAAGTCGGAAATAACGCAATCAATGCCGTGTGTTTCAAGGTGGCACCACAACGAGAGGCTCCGATTAGCCCCCGCCAAATGGAGATGCTAATTGCGCGTGAACCCTGAGTTGGCGAGTATACGAGGGTGAATTCGACAAAGGAAGTAGTTTGGCCAGAAACTCAATTCCTAATTGTGCTCAACTGCACAAGATGCAATCACAGTTTCGCGCCTCAAAGCACACGATCCTCGAGAAACAACGCGCCCTCAACGCATATCACATTGCTCGTCACGACTGGCTAGCCATAAAGGCAACGCCAATCCTCAGTTAGCCTTCTTGCAAAACTTGTTCAGATCTTATAGTTAACTACAACGGGTAGCGCTGCAGGTGAAGCTGGCCGTGCACGTCGACCCCGCCCACCCATCGATGATAGGCTTTCATAGCGACGGGACGGGGCGTGAGACTGCGTACACAGTCTAGGGGCTATGAATCAGCATTTCATGCAGAGTCATACAGAATCACGCACAGTCTTACACAGTCCGGAGTCCTCTCTGGTGGATAGCCTCGCCATGTGTTGGATAGCACAACCATGTGGACGTCAGGATTCACTCCAGAGACTAAGCTCTTTGCAAGCTGGCACACAGGTTTCTCTGCATAGACGACGAGGGCAGTGCTACAGAGCGTACTGCACAGCCAGAAATGCGCGAGCTCGTGCCTCAAAACGATCGATCTCGTGCTTAGCAAGGACTTAGGCAAATACAAAACAGATCTCCAACGCGGTGATTTTCATGAAGTGTGATCACGGCCAACTAAAATTTACAGTGCTCAGACTTAGCAGCAATTCCACTAGTGTGGAACCTGAGCTCACATTGAGCTTAATAAATGGCTAATGAAACGGTATCGGAAGTACTGCATCGCTATGGTAGATTCGGACGCCGAGTCAGACCCCACTATAGCGACGTCTAGCAGAAGCATGTCGAAAAACATAATCACGAAGACGCCACAGCTGTAGGAATCGACCTGCGTCATCCATTCGAGTTGCTTGAACCTGTAGCACTTTGAGTACGGGGGCTGTGGTAGCAGTGGCACCAAATTGTCATGCAGATGCTTTCGCAGCGCCTCGAATCTGTCTCCAGTGCGTTGCGGGTCAAACACCGTGATCGTGAGGTCGTCAAAATTTACTGCTGCTGCACACCAGTGTTCATTTCGGTACAGGATCACAGCAAATAGCCTAATTGGGTTTCGTCGCTCGTCGGAGACACTACCACGAGCGTCATCAATCCACAGCTTCTTCCGTTCTGCTGCAGATCGAATCTGGTGCCAAACTTCTGATTGAGATATTTCCTCTCGATCAAACTCGGGAAATCTTATCGAGTAGGACGGAGCAGCAAAAATATCATGGTCACCACCATAGCGGCTAATCAGCGCCTTAAGCGCAAGGTC